GATGCAGGTAGTGCTGTTGAAGCAGGGAGGACTTGGACATGCTAGGTGAGTGAGCAAAGAATGGGCAAAGTTGGAATACAATGTGACAAAGTGTCAGGTTACACATTTTGTTAGGAAGAGAAAGGGGGAGGGGCTTCAGAAATCTGAAGCGCAAAAAGGACTTGGGAGTCCTCGTACAAGATTCTCTTAAGATTAACATGCAGGTTTAGTTGACCAGTAGAAAGGCAAATGCAACGTCAGCATTCATTCCAAGAGGACTAGAATACAAGAGCAGAGATGTGTTACTGAAGCTGTGTAAGGTTGTGGTCAGACTGCAATTAGAATATTGTGAACAGTTTCGGGCCCCATATCTAAAGAAGGATGTGCTGGCCTTGGAGGTGGTCCATAGCAGATTTACAAGAATGATCCCAGGGATGAAGGGCTTGTCATAAGAAGAGCAGTTGAGGATTGTAGGTCTGTACTTGATGGAGTTTAGAAGGATAAGAGGGGTCCTGACTGAAACTTACAGAATACTGAGAGACCTGGGTAGAGTAGAGGTGGAGAAGATGTCTCACTAGTAGGAGAGACTAGGACTCGTGGACACAGACTCAGTGGGAAAGGGCGACCCTTTCGAACTGAGTTGAGGAGTAATTTCCTTCTGGTGGATCTATGGAACTCACTGCCAAAAAAGGTCTATAGAGGCTAAGTCGTTCAGTGTATTTAAGACAGAGATAGATAGGGTCTTAATTGGCAAGTGGATCAAGGGCTACAGGGAGAAGGCAGGTGAATGAGGTTGAGAAACACTTCAGCCATGATAGACTGGTGAAGCTGACTCAATGGGCGGAATGGCCTGATTGTTATCCTGTATCTAATGGTCGTGTGCTGAGCAGAAGTATTGCAGGCTACATCATCAAGACAGCTTAAGATAGAGATTAGCCATGATCCAAATAAATAGCAAAACAAGGCTGAGAGCCTGAATATCCTCCACCTGACCCCAGGATGTCTTAGTGGGGTTATCAAGTGGTGGTGCAAACATTAACAAATAACAGGGGCAGGAGGTTCCATGAGGATCTCCATCCTCAGAGCTGAGAATACGAGTTCAGAAGACATGGCTGAAGCATTTGCCATCTTCTTCAGCCAGAAATGCCAAGCAGCTGATCATTCAAGGCTCTCTCCAGAGGACACCAACATCACAGGCATCAGTCTACTCTGGGTGACAGCAAGAAGTAGTGATTGCACAGCAACGTCCGAACTGAGATGCTGAAGATCTGTGCTCCAGGACTGACTGGACCCTCAACCGAATTGTTCCAGCAGAACCACAACAACATTGGCATCCATGTGACAACGTGGAAAATTGCCCAACTTTGGACTGTCCACAAAAAGCAGGAGAAATCCAATGCACTAATCAAACACTAATCAAACATTGATGCACTCTGAGTGAGTTGCAGTGATGAATGATAGTGTCAGCACGCTGTGTTTAATAACTTTTACACTGATGCTAAGTTTGGTTCTACAAAGACATTCAGATCCCATCACAAGCATTGGCGTGGCAAAACTATCTGAATTCCAAGGTGGAGGCGAGAGTGATTGCCCTTAACACCAAGGCAGCATTTGACCAACTATATAATCAAGGAACCTTAGCAAAATTGTAGGCAATGGGAATTGGGAAAGATTTACTCAGCATAAAAGAAAGTAGCTGTGCTGTTGAAGGCAATCATCTCTGTCCCAGGGCATTTCTTCAAGGAGTTCTTTGAGGCTGTCCCTTTAGATCAACCATTAATGAACTGCCCTACATCATCATGTAGAAAGTGGGCATAGCATTCAGTTCCATGCACAACTCCTCAGATAATAAAGAAGTCTATGTCCACATTCAGCAAGATATAAGTTAAAAAGCAACAAATATTGGCCCAGACAGCGATGGCCACACCCCACTGGAAAAGGGGAGCATAGGAACAGGAGTAGCCATTCAGCCCCTTAAGTTTGTTCTTCCATTAAATAAAATCACGAATGATCTGTGGCCTAATTCCATATACCTGCCCTTGGCCCATATTCCTTAATACCTTTGCTTAACAGAAAATTGTCTACCTCATATTTAAATTGACAACATCAGCTGCTGTTTGAGGGACAGAGTTCCAAATCTCTACCACCTTTTGTGCAAAGAAGTGCTTCCTAATGTCTCTCCTGAATGGTCTGAGCGAATTAAAAAAAATACAAGGACAACTTTCAGGCTTGGGTCGAAACGGTAAGTAACATTCAAACTACATAGAGACAGTAAGAACTGCCGATGCTGGAGTCTGAGATAACACAGTGTGGCGCTGGAGGAACTCAGCAGGCCAGGCAGCATCAGAGGAGCAGGAAAGCTGATGTTTTGGGTCAGGACCCTTCTTCAGAAATGGGGGACGGGAAGGGGGCTCTGAAATAAATAGAGAGGAGGTGCAGTGATAGCAGGTAGATAGTGGAGCAGATAGGTGGGAAAGAAGACGGTAAGGTCAAGGAGGCGGGGATGAAGCTAGTAAAGGTGAGTGTAGGTAGGTGGTGGTGGGGATTGGTCAGTGAGGAGGGAGGAGCGGATACGTGGGAGAGAAGACAGACAGGTCAATGAGGTGGGGATGAGAGGGGTGCTGGTCTTGGGATGAGGTCAGGGGTGGGGAGATTTTGAAGCTAGTTAAGTACACATTAGACCATTGGGTTGTAAGCTCCCAAGGTGGAATATGAGGTGCTGCACCTCCAGTTTGCAGGTTGCATCGTTGTGACACTGGAGGAGGCCCAGGATGGACATTCATCCAGGGAGTGGGAGGGGGAGTTAAAGTGGTTCGCGACTGGGAGGTGTTATCGTTTGTCGCGAACTGAGCATAGGTGCTCTACAAAGCGGTCTCTGAGCCTCTGCTTGCACTACATATATGCCAGACAATTACTGGTCCATCAAAGAACAGTCTAATTATCTCACTTTGACATTCAATGGCATCACGATCTCTAAATCCCCCATGAGCAACAACTTGCAGGGTGTGTAGCGGGAGAGGGAGGAAAAGCTGAACTGCGTCTGTTATATAAATATTGTGGTGAGAACAGCAGTTATGAGGATCAGAGTTCTCCAATGAATAGCTCATCTCATGCTCATCATCTACAAGGCACAACTGGAAGTAGGCAGTGGAATAATGGTAATGTCACTAGACTAGCAATCCAGAAACTCAGGTTAATGTTCTGGGTCATGAGTTCAAATCCCACCACTGCAGATCATCTGGAATTGATATAGCTAAAATGGTGATTATAGTTATAAAAACTCATCTGATTCACTTATGCTCTTCAGGAAAGGAAACCTGCCATCTTTACCTGGCCTACACATGACAAAAGATTTTTTTGACCCAAAAATGGCCAAGGGCCAATTAGGGTTGAGCAAAAAAAGGGTGGCTCGGCCAATGAGCCCACATCCTGTGAATAAATGAAAGAAGTCTGGAATAAGATGGAATTCCCTCCACTTGGCTGGATCAGTGCAGCTCCAACCAACTATTAAGAAGCTCAATAATATCAGGTTTGATGGACCACTGGCACAGAGTGGGTGATAAAGTTATTATCCAGAAGGTGCCCCCAGCAACTCATCAAGCAGTCCTTAATGGCACTGTCAAAACCTGCAACCTCTGCTCCCTTGATAAAGACACCACCACGTACAGATTTCTCTCCACGTCATAGAACATCAAGACTTGGGACTATATCACCATTCGTTCAACATTACTGGGTAAGAAGCTTGGAATCCTATCCCGAATAGCACTGTGGAACAAATGGACTGCAACCTTCCAAAAAGGTGGCTTACCAGCAACACCCACATCCTTTGAATGACTGAGAAATGGTCATTTTTCACTATTCTGAATCTCACAAAGAGGTGAAGTGAGACAACCTGAAAACAGTAATATCGCTAACTGCACACTAAATTTATAACCAGAACTAAACATCTAACAAACTTCATGTGAATACCCCAGACTGTGGTTTCAGCATTTAACATGCTTGCAAAACCTTTCTTACTTTGATCATGGGTCCGTTTGCTGTTTGCAGTATGCATTCATGATCTAGATATAAATGTGGGAGGTTTCATCAATAGGTTCACAAATGACATGAAAATTAATGGCGTAAACAGTGAGGATGAAAGCCTTAGACTACAGGGTGATACAGATGAGCTGGTCAGATGGGCTGAACAGTGACAAGTGGAATTTAATCCTGAAAACTGGGAGAGGTTTTGGAGGATAATAAGGCAAAGGAAACCACGATACATGGAAGGACCTCAGAAAGCACAGAGGATCAGATGGACCTTGGTGTGCAATCCCAAAGATCTTTGAAGGCAGCAAGGTAAGTAGAGAAGTTGTTTAAGGAGGCATATGGGACTCTTGCCTTTATTAATCTGGGCAGCGAGTACAACAGCAGAGAGATTATGATGGAGCTATAAAAAGTGTTAGTTTGGCTATTGTTGGAGTACTCTGTGCAGTTCTGGTTGCCATACAACACGAAAGATGTGATTGCACGAGAGATGCTGCAGAGGAGATTCACCATGATGTTGCCTGGGCTCGAGCGATTCAGCTGCGAAGAGAGACTACATAGGCTGGAGTTGTTTATCTCAGAGCAGAGAGGAATGACCTGATTGAGGTCTACTAAATTATGAAGGACATAAATGGGACAGATAGGACAAAACCTATCCCTTTTGCAAAGCAGTCATTACCCGAGGGGAGCAGAGATTTAAGCTCAGGGGAAGGAGGCTTAGAAGGGATTAAAAGGAGAATTTTGTCCACCCAAGGGGTGGTGGATATCTGGAACACATTGCCTGTAAGGGTAGTAGGGAGGGAACCCTCAATATTTCAGAAACACTTCGATGGACATGGTGTACAATACTACAGGATAAGTGCTGGAAAGTGGGTGAAGAGTAAACAGTTGCTTGATAACCAGTGTGGACATGATGGGAAGAAGGGCCTGATGTCATGCTGTAAAATTTTGATTCACCGCTGCATTATTATAAACAATAAGAAAAAAAATCTTACCCCAGAACAGCAGGAGATACCTCAGTGAGGCAAAGTATAACACGAGTGTGCAGACAGCGAGCACAGTACAGGCAAGTTTGGAAAGGAACGGGACTGACCAGTTGAAGGTGCTGAAAGATTCAGAAAAATGAATGTTAACATTAAAAACGCAATTCACAGTGATACAATCTTCGCACAGAGCTGTGAAATCAAAGACATTTACTCTCTTAAGTGGTAGTAGGAACTGCAGATGCTGGAGAATCTGAGATAACAAGGTGTAGAGCTGGATGAATACAGCAGGCCAAGCAGCATCAGAGGAGCAGGAAAGCTGACGTTTCGGGTCTAGACCCTTCTTTTCTAGACCCAAAACATCAGCCTTCCTGGTCCTCTGATGCTGCTGGGCCTGCTGTGTTCATCCAGCTCTACACCTTGTACTCTCTTAAGTTCCTCTTTCCTTTAGCTTCAATAATGTAATAGAATGTGTAGAAAGCTAAATACGTTTAAGGGAAGGATTGAAATGATGCAGGAAATGATAAAACCAATCGTCTGAGGGCATTTCATAAACCTTACTAACAATGCAAGCTCTGGTAATACTCAGCAGGTCCGACAGCATCTGTGCACGGAGAAACAGAGGTAATGTTTCGACTCGAATATGACTCTTTTCAAAGCAGAGTTTTGTTCAGCTTGAAACGTTAATTGTCTCTCGCTACACAGTTGCTGCCAGACCTGCCATGTATTTCCTGGACTTTGTAATGTATTTCAAGAAAGCACATCAACATCTCTACTTCCTCATGAGGCTAAGGAAATTCGGGATGCCAACGAGGACTCTTACCAACTTTTATAGATGCACCATAGAAAGCATCCTATCCAGATGCATCATAGCTTGGTATGGCAAATGCTGTGCCTAAGACTACAACAAACTACAGAGAGTTGTGAACATAGCCCAGGCCATCATGCAAACCAGCCTTCCATCCATTGACTCCATCTATACTTCCTCTGCCTTGGAAAAGCAACCAACATAATCAAAGTCCCCTTCCAACCCAGTTATACTCTATTCCACTCACTTCCATCGGGCAAAAGGTATAGAAGTTTGAGTACACATATGACCAGATTCAAGAACAGCTTCTTCCCCGCTGTTATCAGACTTTTGAACGGATCTCGCAAATGTTAATTCTGATCTCTCTCTCTGCACCTTCTCTGTAGCTGTAACACTGAATTCTGCATTCTGTTCTGCTACCCCTATGCACTTGGTATGGTACCATCTGCCCATGTGGCACACAAAATAACACTTTTCACTGTATCTCGGTACATGTGACAACAATAAATAAATCGATATTTCCAGTATCCGCAATATTCTGCTTTTATTTTACTGTCTCCACTCTGCACTTTTCCCAGATGAACTCACTTTACTTACATAATTATTGATTTGTAAGTATTATTATGACAAGGATTGCGTATATTTCCATTAAAGGAACACTCTAAGGAGCAGCCTATAAAGATGCAATTCAAACCCTAACAGCGATACAGGGTTTCATACTAAAATTATAATGTTTTCTTGCTGCTGTTGCTAATTAGTGCTGTAACTATTGATACTATTGGCCTCCATTTCCCACTGTGTGCTTATTTATTTTGACTCAGGGACCACAAAATGATAAATTTGCTTCATCAAGCTTTTCCTTCCATTACACTTATAAGAAATACTAGGTTATAGCACAAAAATGTTTTCTACACCTCACAGAGTCATTGAGTCATACAGCACAGAAACAGACCCTTCGGTCCTACCAGTCCATGCCAACTATGTTCCCAAACTCACCCTCATCCCACCTGTCTGTACTTGGCCCTTATCACTCCAAGCCTTTCCTATCCATGTACTTACCCAAACGTCTTTTAAACATTGTAATTGTACCTGCATCTACCACTTCCTCTGGCAGTTCATTCCACACACGAACCATTCTCTGTGTAAAAAAGTTGCCCCCTGTGTCCTTTTTAAAACTTTCTCCTCTCACCTTAAAAATATGCCCCCTTGTTTTGAACTCTCCCACCCTAGGGAAAAGACCCTTGCCATTCATTTTATCTATATCCTTCATGATTTTATAAACCTCTAAAAGGTCACCTCTCAACCTCCTGCACTCCAGTGAAAAAGGTCTCAGCCTATCTCGTCTATTTTTAGAACTCAAACTCTGCATTTTCAGCAACATCCTGGTAAATATTTTCTGAAGCCCCCTCTAGCTTGATAATATCCTTCATAAAGCAGAGTGACCAGAACTGGACACGGTACTCCAGAAGAGGCCTCACCAACTTCTTGTACAACCTCAACATGATGGTCCAACTCTGGTACTCAAAGGTCTGAGCAATGAAGGCAAGTGTGCTAAATGCCTTCCTAACTACCCTACCTACTTATGATGCAAATTTCAAAGAATTTTGTACCTGAACTCCTAGGTCTGTCTGTTCTACAGCACTACCCAGAGCCCTACCATTAATTGTATAAGTATTGCCCTTGTTGTTTTACCAAAATGCAATAAATCTCACATTTTTCCAAATTTAACTCCAGCTGTCATTCCTCAGCCCACTGACCCAATTGATCAAGATCTCTTTGTAATCTTCACTGTCCACTTTACCACCAATTTGGTGTCATCTGCAAACTTATTGACCATGCTTCCTATATTCAATTATGTCATTTGTGGTAATTAGTTGCCAAGGAAGCAGCTCTGAATTAAATAGAATAGACCATATCAACAACATAGGTCTATGTCATGCCAAAGATACTGAAAAATCGGGACAGTAGTGGTGGAGGGGAGAAGCTTTGAGTTGGACGCCCCCTCACTCCAGATTTGGGTCGGGCATGTCAAGTTGTGGATTCATCTTATTATAGCCAAATGAAGTAATAGTGCCTTGTCTCCGTTTTCAGCATTGGGAATCAATCTAACTGGAAACACCAGGGGGTAAAATTAATCCCAAATAAATGGGTGAGTTTGGATTGTATGGGAGGTGAATATTTCAGAAGTCTCAACCCAACACCAATCGTCTTACAAATGGCCTAATGATCCAATGGAATCCCTCTGTCCAGGAGCCAGAGCAAAATGGCCCACTTGTCTGTGTCTCAATCACCACAAGGCTGATGTCCATTGCACAGCAAGGAACACAACCAAACAAATCCTGTCAATTGTAGCTGAAACATTACCTTAGATGCCGTCTAACACCAAGGTCATTTAGTCTGGAAGATCTGAAGGGTCAACGTTCAACATAGAAACTGAATAGAACACTGGCAGGAACAGGTGTAGAGACAGAAGAAAATAACTTCTGCTCTTAATGGAGGAAGAAATCGTTTGGAAAGGGGTGTTATGGGAATATGATAGAGACCAGCCTGCTTCCAGGAGACACACTGTTTAATTAAATATCATAATTCAATATTGCCATGGGAATTTTTTTATGTCCCCTACAAATGTCAATGGTGCTTCTGTTAACCGACTGTCACACTCTGACAGTACAGCACTCCATCAATACAGTGCAGGAGTATCAGCCCTTGTTCGAGACCAGCATTCATCCTCTCCATGGATCTCCAAGTTAAATGCTCTGTGTTGTCTACTAACAAAGCCTTCAGTGGCTGGAATGTTACAGAATTAATATAAGTACTACTAACGGAACACAACCTGCTCCACTGACAGGGTAAGTTATTGAAAGATCTTTTTCCCTAGATTATCACAACTAGCCTTCCAACTTGGATCTTTCTGCATCTTCTGAACAGTGAACGATCCTCCTCCGTTCAATCTTTCATGTTCCAACAGCTGCTTGAAAACAAACACTTTTTAGCCGAGCTGATTTTTATCAAAGTGTAACTGGAACCACAATCCTGAATGTGGCTTGCATGTCGATGTAGAATTAATCCTCTCTTGCATAATGATTGGACTGAGAATGGCCTGAAAAAACCCACCTACTTCGCATAAAACTGGAATTTTATTAATTAAAAACCCAGAGTGACATGGTGTAATCAAACTTTAATCATTTCACATTAATATATGCATTTTCCAATGAAAGAATCATAATACCAATTTCTTGTGTTTGAAATCCCAGAAACCCCAGGGAAATACATCCGATAACATGATCACAGCCTCATTATCACCCTTGTGAGGTACATGACAATGCAGCTGGGACAAGTCTAAGGAGAGTGTACTAAATACATTATGATTATGAGAATGCAGCCTCCTTTCTATTTGTCAATAAAGTAAGCAATAATTAATTACTGCTCAATAATGTATTCCAGGATTAATACAGGTACAACATAAAACACAATAATGATGTGCAAACTCAAGATTGTTGTCAGATCAGATTAAATTCTTGTGACAATATACCACTCTATCATTTTCTGATGAGTTTTGATGTGTGCACAAGCCTGTTACTAGACAGTTTATTGAAATAATATGATCTGACTGGGCTGTTCAACAAGTTAGCAGTATTCCTCTGCAACAGTGTAGAAGTTAAGGGATTAGTCTACATTTCAGAAATGTGTTCTTAAAGGTCCCAAGCACCAAATACATTTCTAATGACTGTGGTGTGAAAACATACAGGTTCATGGGTTCACCTGCTTTATTTAGTGATTTGTCTCAACTTCGGGTCGTGATGAGCTTTTGAGCCTTTAGTTTATAGTTTCAGGGTCAAAAGGAGTGAATCCAGCTGAAAAGTTAATAAAATTACAAAGGATTTGTATTTATACAATGCCTTTCATGATCTCAGGAGCTCGCAAAGCTCTTTACAGCCTATATGTATTCTTGACACGGAACAGTAAAAGTGATACAGTCAAAGTCAAACTATTGCAGTGTGAGAAACAGAGCAGCAAGCTCCCACAGTTAACAATGTGAGAATGGCAAGATAATTTGTTTTAGGGGGATACCAGGTAGAACTCTCATAGATTCATAGAATCCCTACTGTGTGGAAACAGGCCATTCAGCCCAACAAGTCCATACCTACCCTCTGAAGAGGAGCATCCCACCCAGACCCATTCCCCTATATTTCCCATGTCTAACCCACCTAACCTAAACATCCCTGGGACTATGGGCAATTTAGCACAGCCAATCCACCTAGCCTACACATCTTTGTCCTGTGGGAGGAAACCAGAGCACCCGGAGGAAACCCA